TGCTGATTCTGTCGGTTTTTTTGCAGAGGGACTGACTCTGGCAATGCTGGTGCAAGGTCCGTGAGCTCTTGAACGAGCTTGCGAATATCTTCAAGTGTTGGAGGGCTCATAGGTGAGAAGGGGCGCAGCGTGGTGGAGCACGACGTGGGTGTTCAAGGGCTCAAAAAGACAGGTCCGATGTCTTAGCATGCCAGCATGAACCCCCAGGCTGTAAATCTTGCGGGATAAATATATTTTATTATCACGCTTGCTTATCTTGATATCTGGAGTGTTATCGATGAGTTTGCGCCCTAGCAACCCACATCCCGACGCTGTACACGCGGTCGCGGCGGCGCGGCGGCCTCTGGCGCTTAGCGCTGTCGTACCGTCCAGCTGTCGGGCGGTAGAGCGTGCGCCGCAGCTTGCCATAAACCGGCCATCTCTGTTAGTAAAATAAAGACATATGAGACTCAGAGACCATCACATATTACATGAGAAAACTGTGTGTTTACTGTGTATAAACGTTTACAGCAAGTTTACAAGGCTCCGTGTAAACAAACGGAAACAGTAAACGGTAATAAACGTTTATACACAGTAAACAAACAAAACGGTTGGAGCCTTAGTTCAAGACTCGAGAAAGATGTACAAAAACAAAATATGAGTCCGGCCGGGATCGAACCGGCGACCGCTCGTGCACTCTGTGAGACGAGCGTGATAACCACTACACCACGGACTCCACAGTAAAGTGGACGGGTTTGTTTCTATGATAGTGTCACTTTAACTCCCCAACAAAGGAGCATCCGATTTTGGAGACGACGCTTGCGCTCTGTGCCCGATCAAGATCTGGATCTAGGAGCCATGCGCTTTGGAGGCCGGACAGACGCTGTGGCAACGGCTTGTGGCGCTCAACGCTTTTGACAATTGTTCGAAGCGGCGACGGGCCTGATAAGTCCCATCACGCCCGAGTTATCATGAAAATCCTGTAGAAATGGTATGGCTATGCACATGGCTCTCTGCGGGCCTCATTCAAGGGGATGAAACATCCACGTGATGTAGGAAAGGAGGGAATAAAAGTGGAACTTCGGGCAGTGCCTGTCTGTAAAACAACGGCTCCTTACTTTGGGAGCTTAAAGGCAAATAATTTTCCGCAGCTTATCCTCTCGTAATTTCGGACTTTTCCACGGACCGCCGCCGAATCCAACTCTCACCCCTTCCTCCACCTGGAGATCCTTGTTTATCCATCATTGAGACAGCGTCGAGGAGGAGGCGTCCGGGTCGCGTAGGGGAGCGTTGTGAGTGGGGAACCTCTGCCGTCGAGGACAATGGACTGATGTCCCCGACTCATCGCCACGCCACAGGCTCGACCAATAGCCGCCACATACGCAGCCTTGTTCTGGAAGTTCGCCACCGACCTGCTGATGATCGATAGAGGTATCAGCGGTGAGAGTCTCTGCGGAACAATGATGGGGACGACCAATGACAGATGCACGCTGCAGACTAGCCCTACAAATATCCCCACCCGCGCGAAAGCCTACCTCATATGTGCCGTCTGGTCCTCTCTTCGGCTCCCAGCAAGAATATTAACCCCCGGAGCGCATTGCGCCACATCTAGCATCATCTTTCCCCGCCCGACATCCACTGCCCCGCCATGTCGAATGCACCAAGCCCCCAAGGGGAGCAGCAACCAGCCAGCCCCCGCCCGCCATCGAAGCCATCATCACCAGGTGAGTGCTCCCCAACATCGCCACGGCGTCACTGATCACAGGTGGCAACCGACCCAGAGATGGCCAAATCACCCTGCCCAACGAGTCCGCCACCGAACAAGCCCTCGCCCCCGCTGATGACGAACAACAACGACGAAGACGAAGACGAAGTAACCTGCGACATACGCCCACAACTCGACCTCACCCTTCGACAAGCACAGTGGGACGTCCCTTCCCGGAACGCTCCGAGCCCCGCTTCCGGTGCCAGATCTCCGGGACCCTTCGCCTCCGCGCCACGCCACCCCTCCCTCAGCACGGTCACATCCCTCAGTACGGTCACCAACTCGTCTCCATGGCTGGCTGCCAAAAGCGTCAGTCTCACTAATACAGTCTCCACTCAAGACCTCAACGAAAGCATCCAGAGCCTGCGAGACATCCGCAACGCCCTCCAAGCTGAGCGTGACGAGACGCTCGCGCGCCTCCAGGCCCTCAACGTTAGGGTGGCCGCAGCTGAGGTCAAGATCTCACAACAGCTTGAACTTTATCAAAAACTGCAGCAGCCTTCTCATGGATCTAACCAGAACTCGAACACATTGCTGTCGCCGCCGCAGAGTCCGGCTGAATCCAAAAGGCAAGGTGGGGCGGATGACTCGATGGACGTGGACGGGAAGCTGGGTGAAGAGGTGGATCAGCTCGCGTTGGACGAGGAGCCTAGTGTAAGCATGCGTCATCCTAGCTCTGACCGCAAGCCAGACATGGACGAAGACAAGACCCGAGACCGAGTACCAGAGCTGCCACGGCTCCACGTCAGCAAGTCGCCTTCCCAGCCACCGGAGACGAACGGCAACATGCTCCATGGCCCTGTACAGTTCCTCCACGTCTCTCACCTTCGCGGTCAATATGCAACGTCGCACGACGACTGCCGTCACCACGCCTCGTCGCTCACCGTCGCCCAACCCAACAGCAAGCCACAGCCGGGGCACCAGAGTCCTCTCGACCTTCTTGCGAGTGCTGCCGCGAATAAATTCAACAACCTCGCCGATACCCAGAAGGCACGCGCCACACACTCGCCGCAGCCGACATGGACGACCCGCCCGTCTCTGTCCGCGCCTGCACGCGTCCCCCAGGACCACTCCGACCACGACTCGCACCTGTCGTCGACGTCTACGACGACGGCACACATGAGGGCCAGCCTTTTCGGCGAGGAGGAAGAGGAAGAAGAGGAAGAAGAGGACGAAGCCCCCGAGTACGAGGCCCAGTCCGAGGACGACCAGCCTCTGTCGCGGAAACGTGGCGCGCCGCTGCGACGCCGCGTCTCGGGCGCGCAGAAGGGCGCGATCGCGCAGCAGTACACGTTCATCGAGAGCGGCACGGCGCCGGGGCCGCACCGGCGCAAGCCCCAGAACAAGCGGCACTCGCGCGGCGGGCGCATCGTCTGCGAGTTCTCGTCGGGGAACGGCGTGCCCAAGTGCGGGCAGCGCTTCACGCGGCAGGCGGACATGGTGCGCCACCGGGAGAACATCCACGGCGCGCACGACGGCAAGTATCGCTGCCCAGTGTGCGCCAAGAGCCTCTCGCGCGCGGACGCCGTCAAGCGGCACGTCCTGCACAGCGACGACGCGAACCACATCGAGTTCCAGAAGCGGTACAGCAAGGAGATCGACGGCGGCGGCGACTGGTGGCAGGCCCTCGCGCCGCTGTGGAGAAAATCGATTAGCAAAGTATGACAAAAAAGGGGTGTATGCTTCAAGTATGGTTTTACTCGTTATATCTGGCCAGGCCTTATGCACGCGGGCTCTTGTCGTCTCCCTTGCACATGTGAATACCTTCGAATTTTCATGCAATCTAATTCCTGGACGCTCTGCTTTCTTGGTTCGAGACAAAAGAGGGCGGCATGCGCCACAGGTTGCCGCAGGCTGGCGGCCGAACCTTGTGTCATTGTCGTGTCGGAGACGCGGCGGCACGCGCCGGACATGGCAACATTGCAACCGCCAGTTTGTGGTTTAGCTGCTTTGTCGAGCTTTCAAACACAGTGATCTGCAGCCGTCTCGTTATGTAACGTTAACTCAAAGTTGTTAATCCCTAGGTATACGTATACGTAGATAGATGCGCATGTGAGTCCACAACGATTAATCCAACGAATAATGTATCTGCCGTAAATATCAATGCCCAAGTCCGGCCTCGCTGGCAGGCGTCAATCTCCGCAGGCAGTTGCCAACGACACCGACCGAGCGGAGTCGGAGACTTTGCAAATCCCCCGCATCCGCTCACGATCCACTGGTGTGTAACACGAGGCAACGTAGCTCCACGGGATTGGACTCTATCAGAGATAGGTCGCTGTTATGCTGAGCCTCTTGATGCGCCGCACGCCAGCAGCGGGCCCGAGTTCTGTCAGACCTCTTGCGGGGCACAGGATGCTACGGACGGCTGTGCACCGGGACCAGGTCGCAAATCCGCTGCCCGCATCGTACCTGCGCGGCGGGACGTCCAAGGGCGTCTTCATCTCCCAGGAGCACCTGCCTCCGGACCCCAAAGAGTGGGAGCCCGTGCTTCTGGGGCTCATGGGCTCGCCCGACCCCGAGCACGGCCGGCAGCTCAACGGCATGGGCGGCGGCGTGTCGAGTCTCTCCAAGGTCTGCGTCGTCGGGCCGCCGACGGCGGAGCAGAGGGCGCAGCGGATCGACTGCGTGTACACGTTCGTGCAGGTCGGCATCCGCGACGCTGTCCTCGACCTGTCGGGGAACTGCGGGAACCTGTCCAGCATGATCGGCGTGTTCGCCCTCGACGCGCAGATCTGCAGCACAGGCAACACGTCCGAGGGGCCTGCTACGGGGATCCTGAACCTCGACATGAGCAGTGGACTCGCCACTGTGCGGTCGCTGAATGTGAACACGAACAAGATCATCGATACGACGTTTCCCGTCCGGGCGGTCGCTGACTCCGATGGGGCTGTCACTCCCGTGCTCGACATCCAGCAAGCAACAGTGGCTGGTGTGCCGGGCAAGGCATCTCAGATCATCCTCGACTTCGTCGATCCGGCCGGAGCTCGCACGGGGAAGCTCCTCCCCTCCGGCTCACCCACCAATCGCATCGACGTGTCCATTCCCGACGGCGTCGCAGCGCCTGTGCAGGTGTCCCTCGTCGACGCGACGAACCCGACAGTCTTCGTGTCGCAGGATGACCTGCGCCGCGCCCTCCGTCTACCCACCGAACAGGCCATCGACTACGGCGCAGACGACGTCCGCGTCGTCATGGAGCACATACGGCGGCAAGGCGCGATCCTCATGGGCTTGGACCCGACCGCGCAAGCCCAGCCCAAGGTCGCGGCCCTGAGCGCGCCCGCCACCGGAGGCGAAGACGCCGACGTCGTCGTGCACGCGTTCTCGATGGGGGTCGTGCACAAGGCGGTGCCGATGACAGTCGGCCTGTGCCTAGGCGCCGCGAGCGGGGTCGAGGGGACGCTCGCGTCGGACATCGTCCGGGCGACCCGCCAGAGGCGGAGGGGCACGGCTGCTGGCAGTGGGCTGGTCACCATCAGACACCCGGGCGGCACGGTCGAGGTCGGAGCGTCGTTCGACAAGGACGGCGGCGTGACGAGTGCGAGGGTCGTCCGAACGGGACGCAGACTGATGAGTGGCAACGTGTGGTGGTGAAGATATGCCCAGAATATGTGTACATTATACAAAGCTGCAGAATGCAACCTGGACCAAAGCAAATGCGAGAGCATCACAGACATGACTAAGTTACAGACATGAGATGGATAGACTACAACATGAGCGGGTATCCTGTGGGAGCCCAGAATATGATGTGCCGTAGTATACATGTAGTTATGCGTCTACCGGTGAGGCGTGGTGGCCTCTTCCTCGACCTCTGAATCCCCTACCGCCGCGTCCCCTGTCTCTGTCGACGTCGTCTGCGTGGAAACTGCCGCGGCCACGGCGGCCCATGAACCCTCCGCGTGGTGGCGCCGGAGCGCCGTTGCGCTGTGCGGCCGGCGCGCCGTCCCTCGTCATGATGTGTGGCACAGCGCCACCTCGGCCTCGGTGAGTATCATGATGCTTCGCGGCGCGTGGGCTGGTTGGAGCATGGCCGTTACGAGATGCAGAGTCGTTTGCTGCTAGTGGCGCCACTTGTTGATGATCACCATTTGCACGACCGTTCCAGTGGTTACCGCGGCCGTTGGTATGCGCGGCACGACCTCTGTTGGGATTGGCCATTATCGATACCTGGGGACCCGGTCGGTATCCAGAAGCGGCTTGTTGTCCTGGGGCGGGCTGAACCACTGGGTGCGGCCCGAACCTTGGGTTGAAGGGCGAGGTCGGCTTTTGTTGAGCTGGTGCCTTCGGGTTTGTTGATGCAATGAATTGCGAGTTTGTCAGGTTGAGGCACGAAGTGAACTCCACGGTTGATCCACGGTATTGTGAGCACCTGAACAATAGGCGAATGAGAAGAGTGTTGCTACGGAAAATACCGAGTGACGTACCTGTCGCCCAAGGTGGTGCCTGACATGAATGGAACGTCCCAAACGACGTCCATAGACTTTGCATTCATACCGATGATAACACCCTTGACTGAAAGCGGAACGCCTCCAGAATCCTGCACCATAGTGACACGGTCGCCAAGAGCGAAATGCTGGTTCTGCAAGCGGTAGACTGCATGCGCGGGCTTGAGAACAGCTTGGCGAGGGATACCCTTAACGATAGCCTTTTTGATCGCATCTCTGGATTGCTTGGTAGTACAGCTATCGGCGAAGGCCTCGATCTCCTTCACAGTTTCCTGCGGGTGTATTGTCAGCAAAGATGACAAAGGAAACCGGTGAGTTACGTACCTTCTTCAGCTGGTCGCAGAACAACGAGACAGGCTCAAAGTTCCGGACGCTCTTCGACTTGAGCCACGCTTGGACTTCCCTGACGTTAGCGTCGGGGTTATCCGCGTTGGGGAACACATCAGCGGATGTCACCATTGCTGCAAGACGGAGATGATATGAACATCTGATGAGCCTTCCGCTGGAACAGTAACTCACCATCTCCCGGCCTCCTCAACACAGCCATCACTTCCGGCCACCGTCCCTTGTACTCATGAAGGAGGTCGACCGCTTTCTCACTGAACTCCCAATGGCGGCCATCTTTACGAGAATAGTCAATGACCTTCAAACCCTTGGCTTCGAACTTAAGACCGAGACCGAGGTTGTGCTTCTGCCCGTCGGTCATGATGACCATGAAGTTCGAAGTGATTCTGGCCACAGAAAGGCCAGAGAGGCCAACCATGTTGGCTACTTTGAAGGACGGGAAGTACTGCTGCGACGTGCGCTTATTAACGATATCCTTGAACCTGTCGTTGTCCGCCTTCTCCGACGGGAAGAACTACCGAACGCGAACGCGAAGATCAGCCCGGACCGCGCACTTCAGGAACAAGGCACTTACGGCAAGAACAATAGACAGCGTGTCCTTCGTCGTTTCGAAGACTTGCGCGGCGACGCCGTAAGCGTGTTCGCCGAGGAAGAAGACCTTGCTGCCGTTCGGGAACTCCTCTGACAGCGGAGGAGCCTCTTTCTCCATGAAACGAGCGTCCTCACTGGCAACTTCAGATACGGCCATCTGTGCTGCCTGCTCGGTCTCCTTGTCAGGACCCTCGTAGTCCTTGACAAACGCTCCGGATTCCAAGCGCTTCAGACCTGCATCACTATCAGTCAAACTGTTGACCCTTATTGTCACAACTCTCACCTTTGAGCGGCCGGACGTGGACAAGGACATCAATGTCACCAGTGATGACACCACAGCGCTTTGAGTAAAAGTATTCGATCTTCTCCGCCTTCGACTTCCAGAGACTAAGGCCCTGCTGCGCGTGCGGGTTTGACACGACCTTCGGTGGATTGCCCGGGACGACCACGATCTTCTCATACTTGAACAGCGAGTCAGAAACGGCGGAGACCATGCCTTCCTGCAGGAACGGCCAGCCGACGAAAATGCGCTGGCCGATCATCTCTTGTGCGATGTCCATCACCTTGCGGTTCTCATGGACATTTTGGATGTGCACGATCATAGACTTGTTGCGGCTCTCGGAGCCGTGCACGTTGACGCCGTGGTGGCCCAGTGTCGCCGTGTGCGGGAGAGTCTGCAGGGACGGGAAGCCTGCGAGGGCCTCGGCGCCGAGGAAGACACCGTCAAGGAGGCCGGGGGATATGGTGCAGGCCGTCCATTGTCGGAAGCACGTCAGAGCGTCTAGAACGTCACCGAAGGGCAAGCAATAGCACTCCCCTAGCCGGTGCCGGCGCAGTCTGCTGAGAATGGAAAGAAGGCGAAAGCATTCAAGCCGAGCTCTGCCAATCCCCTACGATTCGAACAAGCCCAACGTCCCGTCCCGTCGCCGGAGAAGTCGTCCGCTAAGGTA